CCCCTGACCGTTTTTGATCCCATTCCCCACTCCAACCCCATAAAATGTCCCTGTTATATGGCTGTTCATTATTCTTATTATTTTCTCTCCTGGTCCATTATACTCCTGCTATGAGTGAAACCATCCGGTATTTTTCTTTTTCCTTCTGGCTTATCTCACTGAGCATGATCTTTTCCAGCTCCATCCAAGTTGCTGCAAAAGACATGTGCAGAAACATATTTTTATTGTCAAGTAAAGGTGAAAACTGACTTTAGTGAGTTTTTGTGCTTTTTTTCTACTCATTTGTCACAACTTTCCATCTTGTGTTTAACTTTTCCAGGAAGATTTTTTTGGGGGGTGTTGGGGGGGGGACAATGGGGAGATCAGTATCAGCATGCTGAATAGGTCTGTTATTCATTTCCTGGCAGTTAGCTGATTATCTGCCCCAATTTATAACATTATTAGTCATTTTTTCCCCTCTCTCAGCTTGGTATTATTGGTCTCTAAAGCAGTCACAGATGACACCTTATATCACTGTGTTATTTCTGTCATCAATCATATTATTGTGTTGATGTTAATAATAAACAGTAGCCAAGGTGGTTGCCATTGGTGACAGTCAATTGTTGAATAGATGCCATAAATTGCCTATATCTCTCCCCAAACAGATTTTCTTCAGGGATAATTTCTTGGGTAGAATGTTAAAGCTAGCAGTAAGGCTAAACATTTTTACCTTCAAGATGTGAAATAAGTTACAATATAGATGTAGTCCTTGAAGTCAGCAGGATGCTTTTCCCTCAAGGGAGACCTATTTTGAAGCTGATTATTTGAATAAAATCACAGATAATAGGGTAGTAAGGAAAAACACCCAGACATGTTCATAATTAGTTGGCCATATTCCTGGTGCAGACCCAAATGTGGTTTCTTAATGTAATTAACCAGAGAAACGTGTGCTTTAATGAACACCCCTAATACATATGCAATGCAAATTTGTGCTGCTTATTTTTGTTTTTCCTTTGGTTATAAACTGTTAAATGTCTTATTTCTTTGTGATAGATGTGGCGTTTTCATGTAGAACTGTACTTATTTCCTTTTCTTTTTTAAAAAAGATTTATTTATTTATTTATGCATATAGAACTGGGGTACAGGCCAGAGGCACAGGGCAGTGAGAAAATTCACCAGAGACAGAGTGCGGAGCAGAACAGGCTGATTGATGAAGAACACTGCAGGGGGAGCAGCAGGCAAGAAAGGAGAGTCACCTTAGGGGCCAGGGATCAAACTGACACTGAGGTGGCCAGGGCCAGCTTTGCAGTGCTGCGTTCCACCCCACTGTGCCACCAGGGAGGGCCAGACTGTATTTATTTCTATTGCAGCCTCCATTGGATTGACTTTTGAGTATTTCTTCCTAGGAATTACCTTCCCTTTTGGGTGTCGTTTGGTATGATACCAGTAGCTGCCATCTCTCTTAATCATGGTGAGAATATCTGAGACAGGACTATTCCAGGCGTGGCTCAGGGATTAGACATCAGTACCGCGAAGGCCTCAGTATGTTCCCATAGCTGCAGGGGGACATCTGTCCAGTCGCTCTCTTGTCTTGGCAAGATCTTGGAACAAAAAGAGAGTTGAAATAGAACCAGCCCTTCCAGACCGATTTTTTTCTAAAGATTTTATTTATTTATGCATATAAGAAACTGGGGTGCAGGCCTGAGGTGGGGGGTGAGAAGATTCACCAAAGACAGTGTGGGGAGCAGAACAGGGGGATTGGCTGAAATACACTGCTGAGGGGAGCAGTGAGCAGGACAGGAGAGGTGGGGATTGAACTTGTGCTGCAGTGGCTGCAGATAGCTTCATAGTGCTGTGCTTTAACCTGTTGTACCACCAGGGAGGGCCCCCTTCCAGACTGATTTAAATTTTTCTTCATGCAACCTCTCCTTCGGTTTTCGCTGACCTCTGAGGTCAGTCCAGCCAGAGCCTAGAGTAGACCTGCCTAGATTTAATGGACCTGGACCTTGTGATTACATAAACTTTGGATTGAATGCTGGTTCTTTCTCTTATTAGGAAATATGACTTAAGTTCTTAGAACTTCCATTTTCATATATACAAACTATATGAGAAAAGGTCACCTATTTTGTAGGGGTTTTATGTGAAGGATAAATAAGCTACTGTATATCTAATTGACTATTTTGTGTTTGGCAGGATTGTGAGGAATGCTATTATTATTAAAATTATTGCAGTTTGAATGACTTTCCCAGAACTCTCTGGCACAAGATTAATATTAATTTTGTGATCTTTTTCTCAGCTTTCTTCTACGTGATGTTTGGTAGGTGTGCATTACCTCTGTTGGATAAAAATATAGAAGTAACATATTCCTGTATTGTTATGTATACCTACAATTTACTAATATCTATTTCCTTCTTCAGAGTTTATCACATCAAAGCAATTATTGTATCTTGAACAATTATTGTATCTCACCACCACCCCCCACCTCTTGCCTGTACCCCAGTTCTTGTATGCATAAATAAATTAATCTTTAAAAAAATAAATTTGAACCCTCAGTGTCTTCATAGATGCTCCTTCTACTTTTCTGCTCCATGTTTTAGATGTCAACAATGACTGGGCAACCTTATGAAACATTAACCAGCTGTTCAGTTGGTTGCTCATGTACACACAAATATGCTCATGTCTTATAATATTTTGGGTTGGTATAGATGTCTAAAAGTTTGATGCTGGGAAAACACAATGAGGCCCAAGGCATCTTGTGTCTGATAAACATGTATGAACAGAGAACAAATCCCTATGAGAGGTAGATATGGATGGAGGAGGTTCATAAAATGATCACCTCATTCCAGTACCATAATTGCACAGGATTTGAACGTACTGACCAGAGGTTAGCTCTGTTTTTTTTTCAAATCTCAGAGTCAAACTACTGGCCAGGTGGATGGAACTCTTGTATTGAGGGGCTTGTGCTAATTCTAGTGACAGCAGATGAAATGGTCATGCCTCGGGAATTAACTCCGGGATCCTACAACTATGCATCCCTAAAGACTTGAAGAAAAGTGCAATTTCATCAACTCTACCAATTTCATGTCAGAAACTCATTTAAGAGAAAACACCTATTTAAAGGGCCCAGAATTGGTGAATGGGGAGGTGGGAACAGATTATACCATTTTTCCTATTTTGAATGGATTCCTGTTTTAGAAGCCTGAGTGTTAGAAGTGCTTAATTTTCTTGATTTTTTATAGATTGAGGAGAAAACTAGAAATCACAATGAATGCTAAGAGTTTTATGGGTTTTTTGTCTTTCTACATTTAGGCATAATTGGGGCTGTTTGGTTACATTTGGAATTACTATAAATGTCTTATTTTATTTAATTCATATATTTAGTATAATTTTGTATAGTCATATATTTTTATTTAGACTTATTTTGCTTTTAAAATATTATTTCCGGGCCCTCCCTGGTGGAACAATGGGTTAGGATGCAGCACTCCAAGCTTGCCGCAGCTGCTGCAGTGTGAGTTCGATCCCCGGCCCCAGAGGTGATCCACATGGCGCTGCAGACCTCTCCTGCCTCACTGGCTGCTTCCCTCAGCAGTGTACTTAATCGATCTGCCTGTCTGCTCCCCACTCTGTCTCTGGTGAATTCTCTCACTGCCCCTGCACCCCCTGGCCTGTACCCCAGTTTTGTATGCAATAATAAATAAATCTTTAAAAAAATATTATTTTCTTCTTATTTTATATCTATGAACTCTTTAGTACTGTATAAGAAATATAGTATTTTTTTTTTTTAAGATTTATTTATTTGTGCATACAGAACTGGGGCACAGGCCAGAGGCCCAGGGGCAGCAAGAGGCCTCACCAGAGACAGAGCAGGGCGCAGAACAGGCAGATCGACGAAGTACACTGCTGAGGGGAGCAGTGGGCAGGTCAGGAGAGGTCTGCCACGCCATGTGGTCACCTCGGGGGCAGGCGGGAATCGAACTCATGCGGAAGTGGCTTTAGTTTCTCAGTGCTGCGCTTTAACCCGCTGTGCTGCTGTGCCACCAGGGAGGGCCGATTACTGTTTTTTTTTTAAACATTATTCCGTTTTTAGTTCTAGAATCCTTTGCTAATACTTACGTCAAATGCTGCAGTCACATTTTTGTGACCACAGAGACTTACCTTTACATCTTGTTGACTTCGTCATTTGCTATTTCTTTTCAACATGTCCCCCTTTCTTTTCTGACGATATCTAATCTGAGTCATTTTTTGGTCTTTGCCCTGGAGTTATTTATTTCAGAAAAGATATATATATATATATATATATATATATATTTTAAAAAATTGAAAAATATCTGACAATGACTTCTTTCATTTGTGTGAAGTCGCATTTGCCTGGGCAGTCCTAATGATAATGTCAAAACCCTTTTCCTTCAAATGATTCCTCTGACTACCAGAAGACAATAGAATATTTTCAGAGTCACAGAGAAGAAATTTCATATCCATTTTATAATTACATGTTTTTCTCCTTCTCTATGCAACAAACTTTTCCTGTAAAAGTTACCTCAAAATTAAATGCTTCGACTTATCAATACTTTCCCCACTAATTTGCTATAAAAAGTTCAGAGTTTTTGTTTTTCATTTAGTATTCATTTGGCAACAAAATTCCCACAACTGTATTATATTATCATTTCCTCAGCAATAAGTGAACTAAAATTATGCAGGAAAGGTAGCCAGAAAAATCTTAATATTTAAAAGAAATCCAAGATGAACTATTTTATTGACTAAAATATCTTTATAATGTAAATCACCTCATAATTGGAATACTTCCTGTATGTGTATCTGTAAAATTATGAAAGTCAAGCCTCCCTCTTTTTTCTGTTTCCCGCCATCTTATATACCTGCAGTTGGATTATTTGATGGGGCTCATAATTTCTTTTTGCTCACATGAACAGACGCTACCATTTCTAAATGTTCATTTCTAAAATACTGATTTTAGGGGTAGAAGCTTGGGGTCATACTTAATGCTGTACTGCTTCCCACCGCAGAGATCAGCTGTGGTCGCCCTCCAGCGGTGCAGCACGCCATCCTCGTGGGGAACCCCAACTCCGTCCTGGGCAGCGAGGCTCACTATGTCTGCCAAGAGGGCTTCGAGAGCCCTGGAGGAAGGATCGCTTCTGTTTGCACAGAAAAAGGCACCTGGACAGACACCACTGTGGCTTGCACAGGTATGGATTCCATTCTGCTGGGCGCCCGCCCTGAATGCAAAGCCATCCGCACAAAGAACAGGAAGCCCTCCTGTCTCTCGGGCTCCGTACCTGCTCCTGGCTGTGTCACCTGTGCTGGTGGACACCTGGCTTTAGGTTTGTCAGCTAAACGCTGAAGATTTAGAGGGTGATTTTAAGATAGCTTAGAAAGAAGATTTTGTGCATTTGTCTTTTGAAACTCACCTTAAATTACAGCGATTCCTGTTTTCTCTACTTGGCTGGCTGAGAAATTTTTCTCCAGGAACTGTTTTCTCAGGGGGATATATTGAAAAGTCCCAACTTAGCACATGTTGACAACTTTTCAGGGCAAAGGCAGTATGATGAAAAGAGGGTTTTTTTTTAATGTTTATTTTTATTTTTAATGGTGGCAAAGTACACACAACATAAAATTCAACCATCCTAACCATTCCAAGTGTTAAAAGTACACTCACACTGTTGTGCAGCCAAACTCAAGAGCTTTTCATTTTACAAAGCTCTATCCATGTAACAACTCCCCACTCTCCCGCCACAACTATGCTACTTTCTGTTTCTATGCGTTGACTGATGTAGATGACTCTTCTAAGTGGAATTAATAGTGTTTGTCTTTCTGCCACTGGCTTATTTCACTTAATGTCCACCAGGTTCTTACATGTTGTTGCAGATGGTACGATTTTCTTTTTACAGGGTGAATAATATCCTACCAGCTATCAAAAAGACGACTTCTTTGCTTATCCAATCATCCACTGATGGATGCTTGGGTTACTTCTACTTTTGACGGCTGTGATGAATGCTGCTATGCACATCAGCACAGTTATCTTTGAGAACTTGATTTAATTTTTAAAAAATATTTATTTATTAATGCATACGAGAACTGGGGTACAGGCCAGAGGTGTGTGTGTGGGGGGGTGGTGGGGCTGGTGAGAGATTTTACCACAGAAAGAGTTGGGAGCAGAACAGGTGGACTGACTGAAATACACTGCTGCGGGGAGCAGCCCAGCAGGTCAGGAGAGGTCTGCCACGCCATGTGGGTCAGCTCCCTGGCCAGCTGGGGATAGAACTTGTGCAGCAATGGCTGCATATAGCTTTATAATATGCAAGTTAATGTCATACTGTGCGCCACCAGGGAGGTCTTGCTTTAAATTTTTATGGATATATACTCCCAAATAAACTTACCAGTAAAAAAGGAGTTCTGAGTTTGCATTCTAGTAGTCTTATATATTAGTGGTGTGTCATTAGGGAAAGCATTATTCTCTCTGAAGCCTCTATTTTCTTATATGTAAAAGGGGAAAAGTAAAGCCTGTTTTTCCTACTTCAAAGAGTTGTTGTGGAAATCATCTGGGGGAGCATTTTGGGAAGCTGAAAGCACCATGCACATGGCAGATCTTAACTGATCTTTGCTTGAAGGTCTTCTCCCACATCACAGTGGACATTTTCAGATGCTTCATTTTGCACCTCTCCTTCCAAGAAGCGATTTAGCATTTGTGATTGGTCAGTGATCGCCACGTGGTCTTCTGGGTATCTATTCTAGATGTTGACTTGCTTGGCTCTAAAGAGTGAAATCTCAAAGTAACCCTGGTCTGAGCCTCTGTTTGACCTGCAGAATTCGGGTAGAATATCTTGGGTCTTGCCAGTCAGCTTTCCATAGAAAAGTCTAGTCTGAGCAAGCAAGGTATGTGGATTAATGATGGTTATTTGCTCACAGAGTTGGGGTTCCTAGCCATGTTTGGGGAAGGAATTTGATGAAACCTATCATTTCATTGAATAAATATGTATTTAGTACTTACTGGGTATCTATGTGTAAGGTACTTTGCTAGATACTACCGTCTTGGAATTTACCGAATAGGGCAAATAGACCTTCCTTCAAAGAAATGTACATAACACATATCATATAATCTTTTACAAATTCAAGGACCTCCCAAATCCTTGCGTAGATGATGCCTGGAGCAGATGGAGTACTCAGTTGTCCTGCCAAGGCCCCGTCTGTGCCACACAGACACTACGTGCAGGAGGATGCAGGCTAGGGGCCATGGACAGGACCAGAGACAGGTAGACACGCGTGAGAATCCTGGGGTCTAGTTGAGCCTTCTTTCGGATCTGATTGACTTGCCCAACATATGCAGAAAAGCAAAGGCAAACTGGTAACTAACATCAAGGATTCCCAGGTCCCAGTCTTAGTCATTGGAGAAATTAAAAAGAAAGTAATACCATATTGTACACACTGATGGTCATTCCCACTTTTTATTGCATCCCAAACAGAAGCTCTCCAAGTTTCTTCGAAGAAGTGAGGCAGGTGTCTCTTAGGGTGTTGAATTTAACATTTGAGGCCGTGTGCCTGGCCTAGACCTGCCCTCTGAGGTCCTGGGTAAGAGCTGGGCTCAGCGTCTGAACCCTGAGCCATGAGCTGTGTGGCTCAAGCTGCTCTGGCTCAAGCATTCAGAATCCAGTGGGGGTATAAGGATTAGTCACTACATGAAAAACCAGTGGATCTGCATGGGGCAGAGTAAGCTATTAATTAGCTGATGCTTGTAGAGCACTTTGAAGAACAAACATGTTATGTAACTGCTAATTATAATTACCGTCCTCAGCCTGCCACCTTTCACAAAGTCTGGGGCTCCAGCTGCAGCTGTTCCATGGGCTGGTGCAAGCTTTGATTTAAGGGGAGAAAAGGCATTCTCCCTGAGAGCTGTGATCTTTCTGTGAGGAGGCCTCTATGCCCTCAATCAAGATTGGCAGCTAAATTCAATTTCCGCAGATAAAGGGGGTGATTTACATGCTGATTAATTCATGGTGCAGTGCACATGATCTCTGGGTGGGTGGGTAGGCGAGGCTTCTGGAAATGTAGTGATTACCATAGCTCTCTCATTTCCCCGTGTTAGATCCGTGTCTTCACACCTCCTTCCTCCCAGCCCTCTGTGTATTTTCTGTTTACCTTCCTCAGTGTTCACATTTGCCCTCTCATCTTCGACTTCCTGCTTACGCCGTGATGACTTCTCCCTCTCTTTACTCTGTCATCCCTCTTTGTACACTTGAATCTTCACTTCCACCGGGTGGAATAACTTATTTTTGCCTGGATTGTTTTAGTACCTAAAGACATTTTCTTTCTGGCCTCTCTCTTTGCATTAGTGGCACAGGTCTGTCTATGTTTTTCAGGGAGTGTGAACGCTGGCAAGGTGGTGGGACTTTTTTTTTAAAGGCCAGTTTGGACTGGAAACTTCAGACAGCTGAGCATTAGGCAACCACTTTAGTGTCTGGAAAAACCCAGGTGGAAGCTTGATGTTTAGTGAGTTGGTTTGCCTTAAGATCAAAGAGGCTGATTCATTCTTGATAAGCTGGTCCCTGGCTTTCGGTCTGCCCAGGTCATTTTGGCTTTTTATGTTTAGAATCTGAGTTAATAATTATAAGGTTGACACTGACTCCCTCTGTGCTCTCAGAAGGGTAACATCTCTGTTGAAACACAGACTGTTTATCTGCTGGGATCCTTTCGGATCCAGCCACCTAACCTGATACTCGCCTGTTGAGTTCAGTTGCTTCCAGGCCTCTTGTTAGCGACTTTCTTGTTGATCCTCCCTTTCAGCCCAGTGAGTGGTCACATGCAGCTGGGCACATTTCAGAGGGAGAAGAAAGGTCAGATGGAATAAATGGACACATTTATAGAAATAGCCACATGGCTGAGCTTTGCTTGATAATGTGTATGATGTTTGTGCCACTGTTTGGAGCATCAAGCATGGTAGTTGTCTTCAGAAAAACCCTGTGAAGTAGGTATTGCTATTTTCATTCCATAGATGAGGAATCACAGACTCATAGAAGTTAAGCAACTTTCACAGGGTCATCGAGTCACACATGGCAAAGGCAAGATTTGAATTCTGATCTGAAGGCCTGCAAGCCTACGGCCTCTCCCCACTGCAAGTGTTTCCCAAGCTTGAGATACTTGTTCACCACTCTGACCGTGTTTGCCATAGTGAAAGTATTTATTTCATGTTTCTGGAAACAGCTTATTTTGAAAACTTATATTTATAATTTATATTTTGCTGTCAAGTGAGAGTGATCAAGGATGTTTTGTAATGTACATGATACCTCGAATGTGTTGAACTAGGTCTATTTTTTCTAATATACACAAAAATCAATACAAAGTGAACACAGAAAAATGCATTCACGTGCCACTGTACATCATTCAAGAGCATGTAGTGCATCTTGGGCGAGCAGCGTCAGCCAGGCTGCTTCTCCCTGCTTCATGTGAGTCTCAATACAAAACCAAAGCAGAAGCAATAATTAATGCAGAACTGCAGCTACCCAGGAGAGGCAAGGACCGATGGATCGAAGGGGTATACGGACTAGGGTGGAGGACTTCGGGGCCTTGTATGGGTGTGGTGTGGGACATACACCTGACCTTGCACGTCTACACTAGACACAGCATATTAAAATGATATTAAAAACCCATTGAACCACTGTTACCTCAATTTCAAAAAAGAAAAAGGAGACCTAAGAAGTAAAGCAGCAGAACTCTTATGACCAACATGCATTTGCTCAGTCGTGTCCGGGAGTCCTCCCTCCTCGTGCACCGTGAGCATTGTCTGTCTGTTATCCTTGTGCGGGCTTGTCTTTGGAGGTAGCTTGAATCATGTTAAAAGATCAGTTTTATGACCTGTGAAATCAGATAGCTTTCAACCAGAATGACACTGATCTTTGACCACCTGACTGGGTCACCTGAATTTATCCTGTATGACCTTTTACTTTTTCCAAAAATGAAGAAAAGGATAGAAAAATGGAAACCCAGAGGGCATGCTAGACCAGTCCTGAGGCTCTGATGGAGTGGTTTGTTTCCTACCATCCTGGTCTCTCCTCAGCCTGCTGAGGGGGAACCCAACATCCAGCACCCCCACGTCTCAATAGCTCTTCCACTGAGGTCACGGATGACATCTCCAAACCTTGAGCATTGTTGATCATTTATCCATCCTTCCATCCGTCCATCCATTCAACCAAGT